ATTTGCACTACCAACTGTATTTTTTTCTAATTCTTGATCACTTTTGATTGGATGCCTCGTCGCGATGAGTCATTGGAGTCACACACTTCTTCTTACAACAATCCAGAGTCTACAAACATATTCCTTATCTCATTTTCATCCAAATTCAATTTTCGTTTGTTACTGGACGCCATGTTGGAAAGGGAGACAACCCTCTTACATCCGCGAATTCTTTTAGGCTCGTAAACAAAACATATTAATGTTTATGTATTGAAGTATGGTATGACTCAGAATTCTTGTGGAACACAAGGTGCTTTTGTGAGATATCTCATCCGCGACATTGTAATGCGCAAAATATTTTGTCAACCACGTTCAAATGGTTAAAAACAAATATTTTAAGTAGCCTAGTCTAGGTTAGGTCTATAGCAGAGGACCATTTCAAAATAGCATCAAATCGACATTAATCTCTTAAACATGGTGACTGAAAAGCTAAAATTGTAAGTAATATCCACATTGACAATCTCTATATGTCAGAAAAACAAAACTGAATAGGGCCTATGCCTTAGTTAAGGAATTAGACTTTGTCAAGTGCATTATTCCTGAAAGTGCGTAAAATATCTCAAAAAATTACTAACACCCACAGTTACATAGTAGCATCACCCAAATTTTGCTCATTTCCTACAATTCAATGAATGCTGCACAGAAAGCTGAAATTTGCAGGGCATAACATCCAGATTGACTCTACTCATTCTCACATTCATATTCATGAGGAGGAAAATAACCTTTAGTGTTTTAGCCTACGTCATATCATATGAAACGAACCCAGTTCTACACTCGATAAATTAACTACGTTTTTACATGACTAGATCTGTCAACAGCTATTCCCTTTTTTTTGAGCATGAACATGGATAGTTGATAAAATTCTGATACAGAATTGAGTAAAATAAAAGCGATAATTTACCCGAAGAGAGAAAAATAAAACAGCTAATTCCAAAAGAGGTATATTTATTTCAATCAGAAAAGACTGAATGAGCCTCCTAAGCAGAAGAGTAATTATCTCCCTTAACTAGTGTGCAGTAAAACAACAATGCTTCAGATCACAGTTAATTTAACTTTTAACCTGTAGGCCTGTACGGTTATATTTAGCTGACGCCGTCAGTGACCGTTGACCTTTGAAACCGATGGCGTCGATGGGTGTAATGGTCCCAACTCTACCTATTCCCCGAATTGACCAAAAAATGTCTTGTCGAGACAAGAATTCCCCTGTGCACAGATTTACGAATGACAACGAATGAATATTGCCCCTTCCCCTTTCATGATTTTTCAACTGAGTCTACTTTTGCTACTTATTTAGTTATGGCTCTGGAGAACACTTTTTCTTCAACTACATTAGTTTTAAATAGAAAGATGTCATTACTCGCTACTTATAATTAGGCTATAACTAGTTCATGATAACTGTCAAAGATTCCTGTTCGTTTGAATTTCACTTTAAAAATGCATGATATATTTAGGTATACACGTTGCCCAAATTTCATTTAATTATTTTAAAAATTAAACGAGACTTACCTGTAAGTTGAAGTTTGATTGTAATTCTATATCTGTCAGGTGACGGTCTTAGAGGTAACATGAGATGCGCACGCAGCCTCCTACTTCATATTTTAAAGGTGAATGATAGCAAACAACCCTAAACCCAAGAGTAAAGGG